TTTCCTGGGAACTAAGTTGCTAACCCAGGCACGGAAGCCCTCGTAATTCTATGTGTGAGAATAACGGTTGAGATTTGCACTAATGCTGGGGAACATGCCGCGCTGTGCCTCCCTCACTGTTTTCAGGAGATCGGCATACGTTTGGGCTCAATGTCCTTTTTCTGTCCTAGGTCCGGCTCGCTTCTGCCGACTCGCAGGCAGGCAGGCATTCCACACTTACTACTGTGACTGCACCAGTCAGGTTTTGTCCGCACCCACTCTCCCGGCTGCCTAGTGGGGGCGCCTGACCCTCAGATGAGCAGCCAGAGAAGCACAGGTCAGGAGTGTGAGGTCAGTGTGTAGCCGGTGGTCAGGAAACGCCGCTCACCCAGCGGGCGTTCGTAGATATTGGTGTCTTTTTCTGGCCACTTTCTGTCGTCTCTGGTTGGACTCACCGGGGGTCGGTGTTCGGCACTGTAGCTTATTCCATCACAGGGACCGTAGATCACTGTGTCTTACAGTCGTGCGCTTGCCCTCACCTTCTGAGGACTAACCTTAAAACGGTAGCACTGTGAACTTTAAGAAGCATTTGCTGTAGATTAGATAACGGACCTTAGAAGTGCCTTTGACGCTAACATGAAGGTATGAACACCACAGTTAAGTGTCACTTGTTTGTGCAGTTAGGGGCTCAGGCCCCCCTGCATATTGGAACAGGCGTCTCACACTGAGTCCGCGCCAACAGGCAGGAGCCCCGAGGACACAGCAGGTCTGTGGGGTCCAGGCCTGGGGAGAGGGGCCGGCGCCACCCACAGAGCCCACCCCCAGAAGGAGGGCTGTCCCTCCATGTGTCCAGTGTGGCCACTGTTGGCACTTTCTCTGGGAAACAACTAATGGGGTCACACAAGTCCCTCCTCAGACAAAGTCCTCTTTTATTTTTAATATTTTTAAATTAATTTCAGAGAAGAAGGGAGAGAGAGCAAAACATCAATGATTGATGAAAATTATGGATCGGCTGCCTCCTGCACCCCCCCGCCCCCCACTGGGGATCGAGCCCGCAAGCCAGGCATGTGCCCTTCACTGGGATCGAACCCGGGACCAACGCTCTATCCACGGAGCCGCACCAGCCAGGCTTCAGACAAAGCTTGTGAACACTTAGAGGAGATCGTAGAGAACAAGAGAAATGAAAATGTCTGCTCAGAATCCTGCCGTTTTAGTGAATGGCCAGAGGCCTCTACCCGCCCCCCCCCGCCCCTTCTTCTGACAGCAGCATCCAGAGGGGGGGCGGAGGTGTGTGGTTGGTTGGAAGCGCCCGCGAGAGCCAAAGCCCAGTGGTCAGAGCCCCGCTCCCGCTGGCGGGGACGTCGGCACCAGGCCCCCAGCACCCTCATTCCGCTCGAAGGATGAATGTTTCCAGGTTTGGCTGTTACTTCGTTAAAGCTGCCGTCCTGAGCTGTTACACATTTTTACAGGCCAGCATCTGGTTAGCTTACAGCCTTTTCTAAAACAGGTTTTTTCAGAAGCCTTTTTACCTTTTACGTCACGAATAGGCGTTTCTGTTGAATTACCTGCCTCCTATAAATTGTTAGATAACGTGTCTGGGATCAGAGGGACAGAAGTTCCTCCAGTGTCTTAGGAGACTCGTGTGGACACGCCCACTGTCCTGCAGCTCGCTTCCTAGAGAAAAAGGG